AAATCTGGGTGGTCAAAAAATTTTGGGTTTTAAGTAAAATAATTTCGTCTTCTATGAAAAACTATTTTGACTTTTTTTTTCAAAATTACAATTTCGGGGTCCCAAAATAATTTTACGTGCAAGTATATCTTAGACTATACATTTTATGTAATGTTAAATAAGATGAATAAGCTAATTTATTTTTTATTTAGTGCAGAAAAACAAAGTTTAGCTAGTGCTAATAAGAGAAGAAAAAGTAAACAGGATAAATATCCTGATGTTATGTTTATGGAAAGATATCAAGAAATGTTATATGAACTTATGTTGTTGAATATTCACATATAATTTGCACTGAGTATAAAAAAATTAATGATAAGGTGAAATTATAATATGAGATGAATGATGAAATGTACTGGGTACATAAATCCTATAGATCTAGTAAAAATGAGTTTGGAGTTCTTGGTATACAAATTACAGGGGTTATATTTTATTTAAATATTCTTATTAAAAATAATGATGACATTCATCATTTTTTTATCTTTATTCTGTAAAAATACCTGTGTGACCTGGTAATAAAAAAGATGTGACACAATTTGTAGAAACTTTATTACTTTTATGAAATATTATAATTGTCAATGTTTCATTTATCAGAAAGTAGATCAGCATATCTCAAATAATAAAGTTCAACAATAAGTTCTGATATAGATGATAATTAGCTGGAAAACTAGTATGGCTAATTAAACATATATAGTTATCTTGTATTTTTATATGTATTTTTATTGTATATTTTATTAATAAAGAATTTGATTAGAAAAATATATAACATATTTTGTGTTATTTTTTGTGTAAGGTTTAGGTGATTCTTCTTATCATATATTATGTGTTATTTTTTGTATTAATGTATAACAATAATTTTTTCAAAATAATTTTCTTGTCAAAAGTGATCAGTGTGACAAATTGTTATGCATGACACTAATATTTTTATATGATTATTTGATATTTAAGTATTTATAAAAAGATGACAAAAGCGTAATCTAAAATTGATTTCATTAGAAGAACAGGTTTCTAAATTTGTAGCTGAGAATATTGAGATTAAAAAAAAGTATGCAGAGGTTGAAGTTGAAAATGTAAAGTTAAGATAAGTTCTAGAAGAAAATACTAAATTTAAAACTAGATTTGAAAAATTGAAAAGGAAAAATAAAACGGATACCATCAATCTTACAGTTGAAAATATTAAACTTAAAACCAGAGTCATAAAATTGGAACAAAAGCAATTGCAAAATGATAAAGGAAGCAACCTTATTTTCAAATTAGATGGTGATATCAAGGAGATCAAACAGGTAGACATGCTCACTCTAAAAAAACAATCTTCAACTAGTATTAGCAAAGTTAGCATAGCTAATGTTTCTTGTAGAATAAATTCTGATGATACTCTAAAACAGATAGTTTTACAGCATAATGATATTCTGATATCTGATATATCTAATAATACTTCAAATTCCAGTATATATCAGAAGTTGGAGACTCATAAATCATTGGAAGATAAGGGGTCGATAAATTTCTAGATTCAAAATATATGGAAATAGTTAGTAAAGAGATTATTCAAAACATCAAGAAGAAAAAAATATGAGATCAAGGTTTAATACAAAAAATGTCATCTTCTGAAAATCCTGCAACTGAAATTTCTCCAGATACTGTGTCTACTCTTTCCAATGACCAGAAAATCATCCAATCAAAAACTTCTGCTAAATTGGAATTAACACCTATAATTTAAAAAACTCCATATAATCAAAAAGTAGAACAAGGTTTGAGATGTGAGCTATCTATTTGTGTCAATGACAATGATGAATTTTTGTATGATAAATCATTTGATATTTAGATTCCCAAATTCTCTTTAGAAGCAATTTTAACAGGATCTACTAAAGTTACATCACAAAATATAGTTGATTTATTTAGGGTGGCAATGAAGGTTAGGCAAAAGGAGAGCTTATGCTGGTATTGTTATTATAAAGCATATGAGAATCAAGTCAGTCTGCAAATAATATTGATGACCAATCAGCAAGGAGATTAGTATATAATGAATTCAAATCACTTCTTCCAGATATTACCAATGTGAACTTGTGTAAAATAATCTCAAGAGCTAAAAAAGTCTATATATTATATGAAGGAATAGGAATAGATAGAATTGGTCAAGTAACTTATAGTGCAAGTGCTATTTCAAGCCTAAAAGATATTCAAATTCAAAATATTATAAATGATTTTTCTAAGAAATCAACTGATATAAATTGCCAGGCACAGAGTACCATTTCTTCCAAAATAAAGTGATCAGTGTGACAAATTGTCACGCGCATATGTCAAAAGTAGTTGTCAAACAATAAGGTAGGTGAGAAAATTTTATTGGAAACTGAGGTAAGTGTAACGCCTGAAAGGGTTGAGCTGAAAATCAGGTAAGTACACCATCCAAAGCTCGACCTCCAATTTTTATTTACCCAGCAATCCTGAGGAAAAACGAAAATATGTAATTAAAATAGTATTAGAAAAGGTCACTAATTTATCTCTTAACTACAGTACTAAAAATATCGATTACTTTGACTGTTCAACGACCTGCCCTATATGCAATGAAAAGAAAATATAAGAAATTATGTAGAGGGTGAATGGGGTAGTGGCGAATATTGCAATGAAGAAACTTATCTTCTTAAATAAATATCAGAATTCAATCCAAATAGTATCTATAAAGGCATAAGATGTGCCTATTTCGAAAGAAATGATACGAAGTATCTGGTACTAGCTTCGCTATTGAATAACATATAATAACCATAAATCATTTTTTCTGTGTATATAAAATGTTTGGGTAATGTTCTCGATAAAAGTTGTAATATCAAAACCAGACATATTTATCGATTATAGAGAATAATATATAATATATTTAGCGGTTTTAGTGTTTTTGACCTACAATATACATATCTATTATCAGATTCATTTTTATATACCTATGAAACGTGAAGTAAAATACTGAATAAAATCATTTTTTTCACAACTGTTATTACGATCCGAAAGGGTGTTCTGAAACCAGAACGGTGGCACGTGACTGTGGAGCAGTAAATATACACGATTGCATATGCGACGAAATTGTAGTTTATTATAATTCTGGTAAAGACGCTACACGGAAAACAAAGTTCCCTAAATATTGGATTAGTATATCTATTGCAAAGCAATGGCTCTATGAGCCTACTATTCATCAGAAGGTAAATTTTCCATGATATATTTAACCTCATTTCTAGTTAAGTCAGAAAAGCTAGATGCAGTAAATGATTTAACCCGTGAAATTTTATTTTCCCCCAATTTGCTAAATACATATGATAAAAAATATAAAGTCAAAATTCCAGATACTTAATTTTTTAATAATTAATAAAATATAATCCTACATATTATTTATTAATACAATAAACCTTCCTGCTAATTAAACGATGCAAACCTACTCTCAAAACAATAAACATACATGTCAACTCTGCATCTTGTCGATTTTTTAATGGTTCGAGATATTCTTTGCTTTTCGTTTTAATCTTAAATTCCAAAGCTTCCTCAACTGTCTTTTGAGTTGACTGGTATTTATTATTAATAATTTCAAGACTTAAAATCTCATCCTCTGATTTTTCTAACAATGATAGTGACACTTGAGTTGCTTTCTGCCAACTATCTTGAGCTCCATCCAATTTAATGTTCTCCATCTTGATATTATCAAATTCGATTGCTATCCTTTTTCCAGTATTTGTCTTCACTAGGTCGATTGCTTTTCCACCAAAATTCGAACTCTGAGAATACACCTGAAATTCTGGTTCAATGTCTACATGAAGGGTGAGAATTAAAGTATCCATAAAAGCTTGTTTCAATGCCTCTTCATTTGAATGCTTAACACTATTATCCTTCAATGGTTTAAGTAAAGTTTTCTCTATAAATCGGCAAAGAGGTTCAATGTTATATTCTGCCTCTAAAATCTGTAAACATTTCCGTACAGACACTAGATCCTCTTCCTTCCAATCATAAATCCTAAGCGCCTCTGCAATAAACTCTCTTTTGGCAATACGATTCGGGATTTGAAGTTCGTATTTTAATGGTCCCGGTTTATACGTGAGAGCACCGGTATAGAACATGAATGATAATAACGGAGTACGATCAGTTGCCAGCTCACGAATGTTGGTGAGCCGAAATCGTTGTTCAATGTCCTTTTCTAATTCAAGAGAATGTTGATTGAGTGCTTCAGTAAGGATGGATTTACCAAGGGGATTTTTGACAATCAAGTCCAAAGTTGTTTGAGAGGGCAATGTTTGCGGGTCAGAGGGAAACCTAAGAAGTTTTTTGATGATAGCTGAAGTATCCTGATAATTATTGTCTATAAGTCTCTTTTTTTTTCCATCAACATCTCAATACAGTATAAGACACGAGCAGTGTTGAAAATACCTTCAGTTTGATTAAGGTTGAAAAAATACCCATCATTTTCCTCCTTTAACCATTCTATTATTCCCCACTTAACATCTGACGACAAACCAAGAGCATTGTCTAAGAGAAGTTCAATTTCTGACTTCTTGAACCCATACAAGTCCCAAAATTCTTCTCTTAACGCTAGATCTTTTGAAATGTTAAAACCCGAAGTGAACTCAGACATAATGACAGGGGTCACACCAGTTTGGAAAACACGAGCTATGCCTTCATCACAAGCAGTCTTCAGACGACTGTAGAATTGTTTGAACGAACTATCCATTGCTTCAATTCTGGTTTGAGAAGGGGTACTTTTCTTTTCATGATGAG